CACAAAGGACCCCCCCCCCGGACTACAAAGGGCCCCCGGAACCCCACCCCGGACTAGAGGGCCGCCCCCCCCCGGACTACAGAGCCCCCCCCAGACGATTGGTCACCCCAAAACTATTAAGGTACTCAAAGTAGCGACGTAGACGACGCTGGCGCTGACGTTAACACTGCTGACGACGAGGACGTGGCCGAGGAGAGGAGGACGAAGACATGGACGACGAGGGGGAGGACGACGACGACCTCCCCGCCCTCCTCCTGCCCCTCCCTCGGCCTCCTCGCTGTCCTTATCCTGCCGGTCCTAGTCCTCCCCTGGGGTCCGAGACCAGCATCGCGAGAAGTAAGTCACGGTCGGATCCCAAAACCCATTTTTGTCAGTGGCATTTCTCGAGCCGCATCGATCTGCGAGGGCCCGAATCCTGGCGAGCACGCCTGGTGCAAAATCAGTGACGTCCGCCGATTTGGTCTTCTTCAATCCGCGGCCCTCCCAAAATCGCGACCGCTTCCCCTGTTCTTCTTGGCCCCGGAAGCCGCAACAGGAGCAAAACGGCCGAGAACGAGAACACCCCAGGGAACAAACAATGACATAAACATGAATTTTCGGAGGCCCGCGCGGGTTTCTCGGTTCGGCGCTGGGGCCCCCTGGCGGCGCCTACGGTGCCGCACCTGGCGCGCTCCGCGCGCAAGGAGGGGGGTCCAGCGCCGATCCGAGAAATCCGCGCGAAACTCCGAAGGCTGTTTATGTCATTATGTGGTCCCCGAGCATCGTATTGTCGAAGACCTGGGATGAGGGGCAACGACACGGGGGGAGTGGCATGGGGAGGGGGGAAACATCGAGAACTGGAGTCGGCGATACATCGCCGATAGATCAGCGACAGGCCCCCGATCGTGAATCCCCTGTTTCCTGGGCAGGCTGGGGCTATCGGGCCCCTATCAGCGATGGGTGTGCGATTTGGGGTCGATGCGTCCCCCCGTATTTGGCGGCGCGCACAAACGGGACAGGGGGAGGGGTGGAGGCTTTTCAAAATGACGCCGCTTCGTAGAAGGCGCCGGCCTTACATCTATAGAGAAGGCCCGCGCCCTCTGTGAAGCAGGGGTGTTTCTAGGAAGCCTTCCCATCTCCCCCTGCCCCACTTCTGCGCGCGGCCGACAACCAGCTGCCCTTCTAGAAGGATAGAGAAAAGAGAAAGGGGCGATCCCCACTGGGATAAGAAAAGACGACATCCAGCTCCGACGCCGCCCCAGGCGCACGGAGCGCGCCAGGGGCGGCGTCGGAGCTGATTTGCCTCCTGCGCGTGGCCAACCTACGCCTGTCCCCCCCCCAACGTTGCCCCTGCTGGGATCTCGGACTCCCTCGTCCCCGCCCTCCGCAAGCGCCGGGGAGGCCTGCCCGGCACCATGACGTAGGCGCGCCCCCGCGGCAGCAGGTGCGCGGCGGTGGCCGCCGCGAGGGCCGCGAGGTCCGCCTTGTAGTAGACCACCTGGCTCGGCGCAATGCTCCTCCCACGCCCTCTCCTCCGCGAGGGCCCCTCCCATACAGCCGGACCACGGATAAAAGAACACCCTTCAGGAACATGAGGCCCTCCGCCTGCCAAACTTGTGGCGTCCAAAGCCCGGATAGCGGTGCAGTCCAGAACGCGTGAAACGCCTCCAGGAGAAGCTTCCCAGGACGCTTGAAAGGACGCATGCGAGCTCGAGACAGGAGCTGCGCAGGAGCTCCCAAGGAGCTTCGAAGGAGCTGCGGACAGGCTTCCAGCACGCGTGTTGGGAACGAGCCAGAAAACACTTCGCGGGACAACCTGCTGCGGGGATGCCTGGCTGGCGCCCTAAACAGCTTCTGGTGCCACCCTGCGCTGCCAGCTTCAAGTATGAAACCTTCTTACAGAGAGCTGTCTTGGGAATGTCCTGTTCAGGTCGGAAATGAATGGTTTTTCGCCCTGCTCAGGTCGAAGCAAGTTCACGACATGCTCAGGTCGGAAGTGAGCAATTTTACGACCTGCTCGGGTCGAAGCCAGCCCAGGGTCTCAATCCCTGGGCCGGTCTGGCCCCACCCTCTGCCTCCTGCCCCGGCCCCAGCACCGGCCTCCGGGCCGACCTCAGGCTAGGCTTTTCGCGCAATTTTTGGGCACGTGTGGCGGCCTTCTACTCCTCAAAAGATCGCTTGAAAGGATGCCGGGAGAGCTCGTGGGCTCGAGAAAAGGGGCTTCGCAGGAGCTTCGAGCTTCGAAGAAGCTGCGGAAAGGCTTCTGGCACGCGTATTGGGAACGAGTAGAAACATGCTTCCGGGACACCCTGCCGTTTCAAGCAGGCCGCTGCGAGGATGGCTAACCAGGAGCCGTGGAGAGAAAGCTGGCCTACTCTGCGCTGTCGGTTTCTAATATGAAACGCTCTTAGCTCTCCAACGAGCTATCCAGGAACAGAACGTTCAAGGGTATTCTCCCCAGGATGCACAAGAACATCTAACAGACACGAAGAACATGAGGGTACCCTCTCCGAGCCGACTTCGACATTATACCTCGGTCCGGCCGTACCATCTTGCTGGCACTTGCGAACCGACGCTGGTGGACGCGAATCAGCGCTAAGTCGACGCTAAAGCGGCGCTGTCTCACCGATTACCAGACGTTCGTCGACGCTGGTATGGTCTGAAGACGGAATTGCGAAGGTGAACAGGGCTCCTCTGATTTGCCACCGTACAACTCCGAGGGTGAATGCCAGTTGACAACTCATAATCATGGACGGGACCTGCTCAGGGGGTTACGCATCGAACTTGAATCGACGCTACATAGACGATAAGCCGGCGACGGGCTCCCGATTGCAAATCCGCAAGTAGGCGATTGGGGGTCGATGCATCCCGCCTGAACGTGTCGCCCCCGAACGTTGCCCCCTGACAATCTCTCTTCCCCCTCCCTCCCTGGCGAGGACCATCATAGACCTCGGCGCCTCCACTGGTGACCCCCATGTAGAAGACGTAGCCGAGACTGGGACGAAATCGGACAGGGACAAATCGGAAATTTCTGAGATCGGGCGGCTCTGGAGCATTTCTCGGGCGCCGCGGCCCCTCCAGAGCGCTCCGAGCGATTCATCCCAGTCATGGGCTCGCCCGGACATCAATTGTAAAAAACACATTCAGATCAATGTTCGAAGGTCCGCGCGGATTTCTTGAATCGAAGTTGGACCTCCCTGGGCGGCGCCAGAGGCGCCGCCAGGGGGGGCCAGCGACTGTCCACGAAAGCCGTGCGGACCTTCGATCAATCATGTGTAGGTCATTATTTCTTCTTCGATCATAGGCTCTACATTTTGGCACCTGCTATCATGTGTCATGTGGGCTGCGGAGGTCTCCACTCCCACTCGTGCACCAGTACTCCTTGTCGTCAACAGGCACAGAAGGGATCCCAGGATTCCTTCATGGACCCGCGGGCAACGAAGAAGACGTCCATAACGGCGGGTCCACAAGTACACCTACTCTTATTCATGCGTCATGCACAATCATCCAATCCACCCTCTTTTCCCCGGCATGATTGACATGGAGGTGATCATTATCATCCCTCCTCACCCCCTCTCCTCCTTCCCAGGTTTCCTTTCGTTCCTTGCGCTGTGAGAAATCATTGCGTAAAACTTCTGGCAAATTTCGGCCTCCAAAGGCCCTTGCCGGGGCACCAATGCCGTCAAAAAACCAGCTAAGGATGGAAAGGTTCCCCTCATCAGTAGCCGCAAAAAGGTTTGAAGGTCAGCTCGAGATCTCAAGCGCTGGCGACAGGCGGCATATGGGTGAGGCGACGAGTGCTTTCGTGAGTTTTCGAATTCGTCCCATTATACCTCTCTCCCCCTATATCACATGAAACCTCCATTCCTTTTCCTTATGAAATATTCCTCCCTGTCACACCCCGAGGCCAATCAAAAGGGCGGGCCGGCGTTTCGCCTCAGCATATACGACTCCGAAGCTTAAACGTTGGCAGCGGTTTCACACATGGATGGCGGGTGGTTTTCAAGATGTGGATCTCGTCTTAGCGCTACGAAAATTTGTTGCAAAAATTGCAAGACCTCGACAATTTGAGGGCGGACAGTTTTCAAAATTTGGCTCTCGCCTTAGCGCCGCGAGCGCTTGTTTTAACATATTGTAGCAGTTTCGTGGATTCAGAGCAGGCGGTTTTCAAAATGTGGCTCTCGCGCCGCACGCATTCGTCTTAAAATGTTGCAAGAGCTTCGCAAATTGAGGGCGAATAGTTTTCAAAATGTGGCTCTCACGTTAGCGCCGCGCACATTCGCTGAAGTGCAATCGTTTCCTGGCTTCCCATGGTCACGTACCAGAAATTAGGTTTTGGAAGGTTCAGGATTGTGAGGATGCAGCAGTTACGTCGATGCGCGGTGTTGGAGACCCAGGAAAGATGTTCTGGCACGATTCAGGATCGCCAAGACGCAACAATGAGGTGAATATGTGGCGCTGGACTCCCGACAATGGTGTTTTGGTATGCTTCAGGGTCTTCAAACGGTTGTCTCCCCACGAGGCAGTTCTCTCAGTGGAGATTAACCCTTGTAGAGGGAGTTCGGAGGGAGGGTTCATTCCAACTTCCAACATTGTTGATTAGTCTTGGGTTTGCACAGGTTCTCCTTCTCCTCATCCTTCCCCTCCTCCTCACAATTTTCTTTGCCAGGCCATGGGGGCGTTCCGCCCGCGGCGTCACTCCTCCTCTTACCTGGCGGAAAACATCACGCAGAGGTTGGAGGAGGGGCTCCTCCCCCTCCCCGCTGTAAGTGGAGCGGGGGCAACAGGCAAAATGGGGGAGGGGGGGGGCAGGGGGCTGGGGAGGTGGGAGTGGAGGTGAAGGCGGTTGTACGGCACTCCTGATCCTCCTGCTCTACGTCCTTCCCATCCTCGCCGTCCTCCTCCTGCTCCTCCCTCCCTGCTCTTCCTTCCGCGCCTCCTCGTCCCTTCAGCCCTTGCCGCGATCGGTGACCTCGCGGGCAAGGAACGCTGAGGGCGCTGCATCTGCAGCCGCGATCAGCTCAAACCGCTCGGCAGGCGTAGCGGCGGGACGGCCCGGTCGCGCCAGGAAGTCGTGCCAGTCGAGGTGGCGCACCTCGGCGTTGGTGAGCCTCAGGCGGACGCCAACTACACACACATTCGAACGCCGGCCCTGGCCAGGTCCACGCCTGGGTCTAGAAGCGCGTTTCTTGATTCGAGGCGATAACGGGCGTTATGGAGGGGTATAACATAACGCCGCCCCCCTGCCGTGCGGTTCCGGCACCACCACACCGTCCGCGCGCACGACGAAGACGACCACGACGACGACGACGACGACGACGACGAGCGACGAGCGACGAGCGACGACGACGACGACGACGAAGACGACGACGACGAGCGACCACGACGACGACGAATGCGAAGACGACGACGACGACGACAAGCGACCACGACGACGACAAGCGACGACGACAAGCGAACACGACGACGACGACGACAAGCGACGACGACGACGACGACGACGAACGCGACGGCGACGAGCGACCCCACCGGAGACCTCCTGAGGCCTATGGAAGCCTCCAGAGACCTTCTGGAGGTCATCCGAAAACCCTCGGAAGCATTCGAAGACATGTGACAACGAAGAGCGACCGCGAGCGATGACGACCGACGACAACAACGAAAACGACGAAGACGACGACGACGACGAGCGACGACGATGACTACGACGACGACCGACAACGAAGAGCGACGACGACGACGACGAGCGACGACGAGGGATGACGACGACGACGACGACGACGACGACGACGACGACGACGACGACGACGACGACTACGAGGACGAACACGACAACGACAACGACGACGACGACCGACAACGAAGAGTGACGAGGAGTTGTGGCGAGCACGTTCCTGCGAAGGCGTCTTTGCCTCCACGTGGCGTATAAGAGGTATGCTAATTACCTCCCTCCTCCATCCTCGTCGTCGTTGTCGTCGTCGTCCTTCTCCTTCTGTTGCCCTCTCTCTCTTACGAACACCACAAATACATGAGAGCACCGCAACTTGCCCGCGACCACCGCCCATATGCGGATCTCTATGCGGATCCTTGTGAGGACCCCTCTGGGGATCCCTCTGCGCGTCCCTATGCGGATCCCTATGCGGATGCATATGCGGATTCCGATGGATATCTCTATGCGATCCCCATGCAGATCCCTGTGCGGATTTCTGTGCGGATGCCCATGCGGATCCTTATTCGGATTCCTATGTGGATCCCTATGCGCACGGCGGCAATGCGGGGGGGGCGCACTGGGGGCCAGAGCGTTACGTGAAAGGGGGGGGGGCAGAACGCGCGTTATGGCCCCCGCAATATAGAACCACGCCCTAGCGTCGGAGCAGCCGCCCCCTTGTCCAGACGAAGGACGCATGTCCAGGATGGGAATGGTCGGGGACGGCGCATGAGCATGCCTAATTTGCTCTCGTCCCCCGCGAGCCCGTTCAGCGCCACGTTCGACCGCAAGTTCCTATGAGGTTTCGAAGGTCCGTGCGGATTTCATGGGTCAGCACAACGGGGGAGGGGGGGTGACGCATGCGCCGCCAGGGAAAAGCCCAACGCCAACCCAGAACATCCGCACGGGCCTCCGAAAATCAAGTTTCCCGAACAGGCGATATTCCTTGTGTGTCCTACAATGGACCCAAGCCCTTTTTCTCCCTGGCCCGACTCTTGTTCCGAGGCGCCGCAAACTTCTCCCATCGATCACCGTGCCCCCCCCATCGTGTAACTGTTTAGATACAAATTGAGGAACACATGCACCAGACAAGAGCCCGAATCAGTGGATGTCATGGATACGCGCATGCGTTCCACGCCTAGCTTCCCTGTCATTGCTTTGTTTCTCTTTCTCTCTCACACTGTATCTCCTCTTTCTCTTTGTGGTATGTGTTCGGCTATATGCACTACAGCGACCTTGAGACTCGAATTGGAGTGTCCTAAGGTCGTTGGCCGAATCATTTAAGCCTCAATCCTCAATCCTGAAGATTCTTGAAGGGCCCCTGACCCCAATTCACAACTCTTCCCAGGCGTGGCGCGTGCCTCCTGCGGCGTGTCGAGTCTTGTCGCATGATTTGTTCGGGCCCGCAAGTGCCACAAGTGGCAAGACGGGCCAAGAGAGCCCCAATATGCCGCCCAGACGGTCCAACTGGTGCCCCGAATCGCCGCACGATCGGTCCAAAACGCCCAGGATGGCCCCCAGATTGCCCAAGAAGCCTTCTAGACATCAATAGCCCTCCCAAGAGGGTCCCGAGAGGCAGAAACCCTTGATTCTGGTTCCCCATACTCTAAGAGGGGGTTCTTGTTATCACTTGGACGCCTCCTCTTCCTTCTTCTTCTCCCGCTTCTCTCCCCCTCTCCTCCTCATACCCAGACTTACTCGTACACCGACTGACTCACACCCATACGTACTCATGCCCAAACTTAGTCACACACAGAATTACTCATACTCAGACCAACTCATACTCAAACCTACTCCTACTCAGACTTACTCATGGTGAGACTCACGCACGCCCCGTTCGCGGCCGTTCTGTGGGGATGCCCCAAGCGGTTTGCTTGTTTGCTGTCCCAACATCCTTGGCTACCAGAGCAGATTGTGAGGATGTCTCAGGCGGGGCGCTGGTTTCAGCGTCCCCTGAGGTAAGCCGCCAGGGGTTATCTCACGGTCCCTTTCGCGGCCGTGTTGTGGGGATGTCTCGAACGATTTGCCTGTTTGCCGTCCCAACATCCTTCGCTGTCGGAGCAGATTTGGAGGCCGTCTCGAGCGAGGCGCTCATTTTCACGTCCCTAAGGAGAGCCGCCGAAGGGTTATCTCATCGCGGCCGGTTTGTGGGGATGGTTCGAGCGGTTTGCCTGTCTTCTGTCCCAACATCCTTCGTTTCGGAGCAGCTTTAGAGGTCTTCTCGAGCGAGGCGCTCATTTTCACCACCCCTAAAGGGAACCGCCAGGGGTTAGCTCACGGTCCCGTTCGCAGCCGTTTTGTGGGGATGCCTCAAGCGGTTTGCCTGTTTTCTGTCCCAGCATCCTTCGCGTTCGGAGCAGATTTGGAGGATGTCTCGAGCGAGGCGCCCGTGCTCACCCCCCTAAGGGGGGCCGCCAGGGGTTATCTCACGGTCCCGTTTGCTGCCGTGTTGTGGGGATGTCTCAAACGGTTTGCCCGTTTTCTGTCCCAACATCCGACGCGTTTGGAGCAGATTTGGAGGGTGTCTCGAGCGAGGCGCTCATTTTCCCAACGGGCTCCAGGAGGCCCCAGGAGACCATATGAGGTCCCGGGAGGCATCAGGAGGCCACAGAAAGACTCAAGAGACCACTGGATGTCCCAAGAAGCTCTAGGAGGCCCCAGGAAGCTCCTGGAGGCCTCAGGAAGCCACAGGAGGCCCCAGGAGGCCAGAGGAAGCGCCAGGAGGCCTCGGAAGGCAACAGGAGGCCCCGAGAGGCCCTAGGAGCAGGAGGCCTCAGAAGGCAACAGGAGTGGCTCCAATCCCATGTTTTACGTATGCTCCTATAGATTGGGCCTCACCTGGAGCACGAATCCTCCGTAGCAATTTTGGCTTAAGGCAATGCGACTCCCGACGACCGCGAGTCCGAAAGGGCGGCTTGAGCGCGAGGGATCGCGTTTTGAGCCAATTCTCTTCGTTCCCAGGTCCAGCTCCCCGACGGCTCGCGCGCGGGCTCTCCTCGTTTTGGCACTTATAACTCTGGGTTTGTCTCGGCCATGGCGGCTCAGTGGCAGTGCGTTTGTGGGGAGTGCCTGGCGGCCGACCGCACGAGGTGTTCGAAGCCTGGTTGTGGCGGACTGCGGCCTCGACTGCGCGGAGCAGGACAGCCTCGGCAGCTTCGTCAGCCTCCCGCCAGTGGCAAGTGAGCGACGGCGCCGCCGAGCAATCAGCGGGGCCAGAACGGCAAGGTGTTCAAGGGCTGCAAGGGCACAGGCTGGGAGAAGGGCGCCACCGCGGGCACCGCGCTCACCGCGGAGCAGATCAAGATCTGGGCGGCTTTCGAGCAGGGGGCGTGGGATGCGGCTAAGCTCACCCTCAGCCACTCGCCTCGCAGCAAAATTGAAGCAGTTCGTCGTGATCATGCTCTCGGCTTGGTGGGCAGGTCTGCGCCGCAGAAGGTGGGTGGGCTTGCCCGTCAGCTTGCGGATGCCCGAGCTCGGCTTCTGCGAGACTCGGAGGCTGCTCGCAAGGCTCTGGCGCAGGTGCAAAGGGCGCAGGAGGCCATCTCGCAGCTGGAGCAGGAGCTGGCGGAGGCCAAGCGCGAAGATGCTGCGCTCTACGGAGGCGGCATCAGTCCCGAGGCCATCAAGCAGAAGCTCGGCGCGCTCAACACCGACGGCGTCTCGGGCCAGGACTTCCTCCGGCAGCTGCCGAACATGGTCATAGAGCTCGCCGAGGAAGCGAAGGCAGCTCGCCCGCACGTCGGGGCTGCCGCGGCTGCCGGCGCCGCCGAGCCTGCCGAGCCCGACGCAGGGCAGCCCGCGGGGCGGCCAGGCGGCGGTGCGGCCGCAGCAGCGCCAGCAGCAGCAGCCCCTGCAACAGCGGGGGATGCAGCGGGGTTCGAAGACTTCCTGGGCGAGGAGGATCCTGGTGGGCTCCTTGGTGGCTCTGGCGACGACGACGAGCAGCGCAAGCGGATCCGCGACGGCGCGACGTTCTCGACACGCTGCGGGACGCAACGAAGCCACGGACCCTTGGTTAGCCGTGTTCGCGGGCGCTGGTGGTCGGCCCTCTCCATCGGCGCGAATGCGGACAGCAGGTTCGAGGGCCTCCTCGGACACTACGGGATTCGTAGGTGTGACCTCACTTTCGCTCAAGAGGCACACCTGTCTGAGGAGCCCGGCAGCGTAGTTTCATTCGAGTTGGCTGGGGTGGGCTGGCGCACGGACGCCACGCCAGTCACAAGCTCTCGGATGGGCAGTCTGGCCACGGAGATCTCCTGCAGTGGGCGCCGAGGTCGCCTGGCCTTGGCGGGTTCGAGGCTGGGCAACTGACGGTGCCCTACGCCTGGTCGCGCGGCGGTCACGCATGTGGCAGGCCCATCTGCGGGCAGTGCATGGTTTTACGCCGACATGAAGGTTGGCGAGGGC